ACAAACTCAGATCCTTCCGAGGCAAGGTCCTCTTAATTGCACCATATTGGATCCTACAACCTTGGTGCCTGGATCTGTTGGACTGGTGCCTGCATCCACTACAATTGCAACAAGGATGTCTAGACCAGGTACTGCACCCTTAGTTTGAGATATCCTTGGCACTTCAAGCTTGGGGTTTCTCAAAAGGAGTTTAAATAGATTGTTGGGTAATTCCAATATAGCTAACCAAGTAATAGCAGGTCATAGACCTCAAACTTCTATGCAATATGAGAAAGCTTGGAAACTTTTTCAATAATTTATCAAGTTAATGACTCCAGACACATTGTCGGAAACAGTGTGTTAGTATTTGTACAATTTCTGTTCAGAGTTAAAGGCCTTCAAGGATCGACAATTGCATCTTATAAATCAGCATTGGTTGACCCTCTGACGTGGGGTTTTAATATTACTTTGAACCCAAGGATTTATCAAATGCTAAGATCGTCCTTTTTCATACAGAGACCCCCTCGACCCAAGAGAATCCCACCTTGGTCTCTAGAAAAAGTTACTAAATTTCTTATGGGGCCTAATTACAACATAAATCTGAACCGGGACAGATTGCTCCAGAAGGCAGCTTTCCTTCTAGCAATAGCAACAGGTATGAGAATCAGTGAACTGATTTCAATTTCCAATAATCCATCATTATTGGTATTTTCTGAGGAAGATGTCACCCTTTTTCCTACGGAGATCCTAAGAAAAAATGAAAGGGAGGATTTTCAAGCCCAACCTATTAGGATAAAACACCTAATGGATGAGACAAGGGTTCGTCGTATATTGTGCCCAGTTAAAAATCTTCAGGAATGGTTAACCAGATTCCCTAATCGAGGCCCCTATGGTAAGAAATTATCTCCTAGTCAAATGACAAAATATTTATATCAGTTAGTGAATCAAGCAGACCCCGGCAAGAAATTTTTGGCACATGACACCAGGAAATATGCAGGGTCTGTGGCCTTTCTGCGGCATATGAACCTCAGTCAGATCAAAGAAGTGGCCCTTTGGTGATCTTCAAAAACTTTTAAAGACAGCTATCTTCATCTATCTCTGAAAGATGCTTCACATGTGGTGGTGCTGGGGTCCCCTCCCCCACCTAGTCAATCTCCACAACCAGGACCTTCTTCTTCCTCATCAGAATCAAGTGAGTATCCTCACTGAGATATGTAAATTAACATTTTACCTTCCAGTAAATGTTCCTAATATTAGAAAATATTCCAAACGGTTTATAATCATAATCTGGACCTAAGCTAGCGGAGCCTTGTATGCAACGTCACCTCCCTCTCCACCTCCTGCTCGGGTAATCAAAGCTAGACGTCGCATTCTGGACTGAACAAAAAGCCGTTTTTTTCTAAAAACCAGTTTTTGTGATATACTGTAGTCCAGAATGCGATGTCGATAACCCACCCATCTCCACCCCTCGAGAGTTGACTTTTGTTTACCATTTGCTCTAAAGCAAGAGATGACGGTGGCAGTGTGTGTGTGATGGAGGGTGCAGGAGGGGGTTTTGAGAGTTGCAATTAAATGCCAGGTAGCGACGTGTCCTCCTAATATTAGGTATTTAAGTAATTATTAGATGTTTTAATTGCCTCTATGTTGACCTGGCGAGTTAATGCTAGGCATTTACATACCTAGGTATAAAGCTAGTCGTCGAATTCTGGACTATATCACAAAAAATGGTTTTTAGAAAAAAACGGCTTTTTTGTTGTAACTAATTTATTGGTATTACTTTTATTTGTTCCTCACATTTACTGGTACTGTATATATTATTTGAAGAAACCTATGGATACAGAAGAAAATTACACACAAAAAAGTTTTTCCCATAAGAAATAGATAAAATACATGAGTTACGTTCCTGAGCCTCCCTTTGCCCCATAAAATACATTACATATACAGAAAATAATTGCCATTTTTATAGAAAATCGTGCATACATACCGGGTATACAACTACTAAGTTTGTATTGGTACTCATTGATGGGCGGAGGTGGTAGAGCGAGTGTGTGGTGGGCAGTGGAGCAGAGGAGGCGGATGGCAGAAGGGGAGGTGTATGGTGGGAGTGGAGGAGGGTAGGAAGGGAGGAGGAGGGTGGGAGCAGAAGAGGAGGGTGGGAGCAGAGGAGGAGGGTGGGAGCGGAGGAGGATGATGGGAGAGGAGGAGGGTGGTGAGTCACTGAGACTCTGCGGCTGCCTCCTCCTCCTCCTGCTCTGACTGGGGTTCCTCCGCCGCTACTTGCTCCTCCTCCGATGATGTTTGCTTCTCCTTGGCTGCCGGCTGTTGTGAAGATACAGACTGCTGCTGCTTCTGCAGTCCCGAGACGAAAAAATTAATTTACCCCACACACCATTCAAGCAACTTTCTGAATCTTCTTCCCATGCCTTGCCTATGTTGTCAATTGCATCAAGAATGTTGAAGCTGCGCCAATATTCTCGGATCATTGGTTTATTATCTCCGTCTGTAGCCTTGAGCAGCTGGGCCATGGTACGGCATAGATAATACGCCTTGACTGTGGCGATGACGCCTTGGTCCATAGGCTGCATCAGTGCTGTCGTGTTGGGAGGCAGGAATACAATTTTTACACGGTCATGCAAGTCGTCGAGATTGGGAGGATGAGCTGGAACATTGTCAACGATCAGAAGAATTTTGAAGTCAAGGTTCTCCTTGGCACAGTATTCCTTCAGTGCAGGGTTGGTGTACACGTTTAACCACTGGCTAAATATGTTTGCCTTGTAAATGACAGGCAGGTGATCCTTAGAGTAACCTTTCATAGTAGTGAGAGAAATCAGCATAGGCTTCCGCTTGAAGTCGCTGGCAGGGTTCACGCCAAGCAGCAGCTTCAAGCGGTCTTTTGCCGCTTTAAAATCTGGCGCTCTTTTCTCCTCCTTGGAGATATAGGTCCTCTCAGGCATCCTCTTCCAAAAGAGACCAGTCTCATCCACATTGAAGACTTGCTTCGCTGAGTAGCCTCCTTGCTGGATAATATGTTTGAATTCTGGAGGGAATGTCTCGGCAACAACCATATCTGAACTGGCAGCTTCACCAGTCATCTTTATGTTGTGGAAGTTATACTGACGCTTAAATCGTTGAAACCATCCTCGGCTGGCCGTAAAGGTCTCTTCCTTCGATCCTTCACCCTCTTCTGCCTTTAAGTCATCAACAAGGATCTGGCCTTATGCTGGATAACCATTAGGCTCACAGGGGCATTGTGTTGATTCTGGTCCTCCATCCACATTGCCAGCATCTTTTCCACCTTCTCTATCACAGTGCTTCTAGTACGAGTTGTCTTAGTAGCACTCAGAGAAGAACCACTTCCAGCACTAACCTTAATCTTGTCAGCGTTGGTTTGGATAGTACGCACAGTTGTAGGGGTTAGACCAAGCACAGCGACTATGTCCACAGCAGGTTCCCCTTTTTCAAAACGGATTAATCCTTCCATTTTCGTAGCCAGGGTAATGGTCTTACGTTGCCTCTTCACTACACTAGCACCAGTAGCACTTGATGGGTGCTTGGAAGCCATTTCAAATGATTAGAGTACAGTTTTAGAGCAAAAGCACTTAAGCACACATGAATGATGTGAAGTCGTAACAAATATTGGCTTGGCGCCGCTGTGACGTTCCGTGAGTGAGGGCAGAGTGCCGAGCCGAGAGAGCGTAGCGCAGCCAGACAAGAGCGGGTGATGCGCCATAGAAGTAGTCCGTGACGGCGCAAAATGACGTAGTATCGGATCACCGGGACGTTAAACGAATTTTTGGTCCCTTAAAGTTTAGCGACGTAGTACCGAAACAACGTTAAGCAGGACGACGTTATGCGAAGACTTACTGTACTCCCTGCTAAAATGGGGGGTGCGTCTTATATGGCCGTGTGTCTAATATGCTGTAAAATACGGTACTTTGATAATACAGGTAAACCCCGACAACCGGTGTCCCATGACCGCTGATTCACATAATCAACAAGTACATATAGGAGAAATACCCCGGAAGTTTCGTTGATACCCCTAGATGCACGCGATCATCAGAGCTGGCGTGGTGTTAATTCTTGCCACCAGTGGGATCTGCACACTTCCCCTGAAATGTTCCTGCCATCAATGGTCTTGTTTACACTTATTTTTTTCATTATTTCTGACTTAGTATGTTACTCAGTCATGCCTAAACACACTAGTGATAGTTCCTCTTGTGCTGGGCAGCTCGATGTGATGTGATAAGGCATAATAAGAGTGGTGATGGACCAGCAAAGATTGGTAAAGACTTTAACTTGCCACCCTAGACCATCTCTACCATCCTCAACACAGGTAAATAACTGTGTTCATTTATGCTTCAAATTACTTATTTAAGGCTTATTATGCTTGCTTTATATGTCTGCTTTATTCTCTTGCTTGACAGTGTACAGTACAGATATATATCAAGGGTAGATGGGAGTTTTGGGGGGTGGCTGGTCCCTAACACCCTGAATTTGTTATGTTATTAAATGTTTTGATAATCGATGATTCACTAACCAACGACTTTTCCCGGTCCCTATATGAGTCAGTTATCGGGGTATGCCTGTACAAGCAATAATGATGTGAAAGTGAAAGATGGTCCCATTGGCACGACTGCCCATTAGAGACAGTGTGGATACAGCACACTGTATACTAAGCCATAGGTACACAAGGAGGCAGCATGGCCGGTATTACTTTCAACTGCATTCACTTCCCAAGTTGTAAACTTTCGTACACATCTACAGTTGGGTGAAATGGGAGTGCTTGGGGATCGAACCACCGGCCCCTGGAACCGTAGAAGAGTGCTGTATCCACTCAACCACTGCAATCCACAATAATAATATTTCAAGGAACCAAAATAAACAGTACAGCAGTTTAATAAAAGAAATAATTACCAACTACACACAATATTACACTCAATAAAGACAGTGACTTCTTCATAACATATCCTCTATAAACATAACATAACTCTTTAAGACTATAAACATTCCTTCCAACTCACTTTTTCACTGGTTCATCACCAAACTTCATAAGGGTTCTGATAGCAGTAGGAGCTGTGTAAAACTTGCTCACTTTGTACTTCTCAATAATTTCCCAGAAGCGGCCAATGTGTGGATAGGTGGGCATACCCTCAAACTGTCGAGCAAATACACCATGAGTCCAACACCTAAATAACATTACCTTTCATTAGCCTTTATAAATGATACAAGCACCACCAACATTTAATACTTCTGTGGTGCAAATCAAGGAAGGTGGAGTAACACTAAACAAGGAAGGTGGAGTAACACTAAACAAGGAAGGTGGAGTAACACTAAACAAGGAAGGTGGAGTAACACTAAACAAGGAAGGTGGAGTAACACTAAACAAGGAAAGTGGAGTAACACTACACAAGGAAGGTCGAGTAACACTAAACAAGGAAGGTCGAGTAACACTAAACAAGGAAGGTAGAGTAACACTAAACAAGGAAGGTAGAGTAACACTAAACAAGGAAGGTCGAGTAACACTAAACAAGGAAGGTAGAGTAACACTAAACAAGGAAGGTCGAGTAACACTAAACAAGGAAGGTCGAGTAACACTAAACAAGGAAGGTAGAGTAACACTAAACAAGGAAAGTGGAGTAACACTAAACAAGGAAGGTCGAGTAACACTAAACAAGGAAGGTGGAGTAACACTAAACAAGGAAGGTGGAGTAACACTAAACAAGGAAGGTAGAGTAACACTAAACAAGGAAGGTAGAGTAACATTAAACAAGGAAGGTGGAGTAACACTAAACAAGGAAGGTGGAGTAACACTAAACAAGGAAGGTAGAGTAACAATAAACAAGGAAGGTCGAGTAACACTAAACAAGGAAGGTGGAACTGGCTGGTGAGGAGGAGCAGAGTGGTGAGTGACTGGCTGAGGGAGGAGCAGGATGGTGAGTGACTGGCTGAAGGAGGGCAGAGTGGTGGTGACTGGCTGAGGGAGGGAGCAGAGTGGTGAGTGACTGGCTGAGGGAGGAGCAGGTGGTGTGACTGGCTGAGGGGAGCAGAGTGGTGGTGACTGGCTGAGAGAGGAGCAGAGTGGTGAGTGACTGGCTGAGGGAGGAGCAGAGTGGTGAGTGACTGGCTGAGGGAGGAGCAGAGTGGTGAGTGACTGGCTGAGGAGAGCAGAGTGGTGAGTGACTGGCTGAGGAGGAGCAGAGTGGTGAGTGACTGGCTGAGGGAGGAGCAGAGTGGTGAGTGACTGGCTGAGGGAGGAGCAGAGTGGTGAGTGACTGGCTGATGCTTGGCTGTGTTGTGGGGAGGGCAGAAATATCAACTACCATGAACTGAAAGTGAGTGTGGTGTGTGTGAGTGTGTGTGTGTGTGTGTGTGTGTGTGTGTGTGTGTGTGTGTGTGTGTGTGTGTGTGTGTGTGTGTGTGTGTGTGTGTGTGTGTGTGTGTGTGCGTGTGTGTGTTTGTGTGTGTGTGTGTGTGTGAAGGCTTATAAGAGAGAAAAACATAATAAATGGAAGGATTAAGTAGACAACATTATCCTTACCAACACAGATGTGGCATTATTGAGCATGGGGCCATATGTAACATAAGAGTGACCAGTGATCCAGCCAATGTCAGCAGTGCAGAAATAGACGTCACCCGGATGATGGTCAAAGGTGTACTTAAAGGTGGTGGCAGCATATAACATGTAGCCACCGATGGTGACCAGTGATCCAGCCAATGTCAGCAGTGCAGAAATAGACGTCACCCGGATGATGGTCAAAGGTGTACTTAAAGGTGGTGGCAGCCTCTTATGTTTAATATTAATACATTTTCACGTTAATTATACAGGTACACCACCGATTTTCCGGCACCCTTGGGTCCAAAGCCTTGCCCGATTATCCGTTTTGCCGGACCGACCGAGGTCCGGCAATAAACCTCTAACCCACTAATTATACACCTCCTGTGTCTCTAAAGCACCATGGACTGCTAGAAACTTAAATCAAACAAATATTAAATGTAAATTTAATGTGAAAAAGCCATAATTTTAAGCAACATTATTGTATACACGTGTACCCAAATGTACTACACCAGACTTAAATTTTTATCTCCTGTGCAAGTATGTGATGTACATACTCAAATTAATCACTATCGTACAAGGATTCCTGCAATGCAATTTATATTCTGCTAAGTCTAATCAGCTACATTTTATAAGATAAAAGTGTTAGGCCTAAAACTGCCTTCACCCTGGCAGGGAGGGAGGGAGGGAAGTTAAGTGCCCTCTCATAATTTTGTCTGGACTAAAGGAGGTGTCGGACCATCAGTTCCTGGAAAATCTGTGGTGTACCTGTACCTGATACCATAATTTATCATAAATAAACCAAGTTACCTGTATTTAATTTTTAGTAGTAAAATACAACAGTTTTAATAAAGTGCACATTTTTGTCACAGTGTTGTTACCATATGAGCATCATTTCTCTCCCAGAGCAACACAAACAGTCATTGAATCAGGTCTACCAAGTGTTTCATATTCTTGCTTCACCTGTCACGGTCATTTTTGTGCAGTTAGTCCGTTCAACACTTAATTATTCATATTATGATACAGCGCCCACAAAACATGTGAAACATTTGAGTCCCTCAGTAGAGACGTTCGTTCTCTATCCATTATCAGGATGTCGTAGTTCCTCCATTTTCTCTCGTATACTCGCTCAGAGACTCGGGTATTTTTTTTTAGTTAACTCGGGATGTTCAGGCAATTTGAAATTGTGAGTGAATGAATTTATTGTACAATCAATTATGTACACCAACAGTAAGAGAAAAGACTCTAGATGTATTGAGTATATGTTGAAGGCATCTTGAGTCTTAAATGTAGAGTATTATATGTGAATAGATTAGGCATTGTTTACCAGCTGTAAATCATATGTACCGTGTGTTCTTACGCGGCGGCCGTTCATAACTGAAGTCATTCTGTTTTCATATAAGAACATCAGAGAATCAGATGGAAACATAGAAAGTGTTGTCAGTGTTGTATTATAGAAGTTAGATAACTGTCTGAAATGTAAACATAAAACGTATTTATCGCTCGAGTTTAACGGAAAGTCTCAAGTTATCTGCTTCCCCCCCCCGCACACTGCCGTTCTGAGTATTTGTCGTTAGTTTTGTTCTTATTTATGGGAGCTCAGTCACTGCTTAGTTTGTAAAGCTAAACTTAGAAGATTAGACTAGGTTTGCAACCTAATTTTCATACGCCAATTTGAGAGTGAGGGAAGTAGTTGAATTATCTGTAAGTTACGGCTTGGTTGAGTGAGGCGTTGGCTGGAGACCGCCTCTCTAGACCACAACCTGACCTCACTCTAAGCTGAGAGAGAGAGAGGGGGGGGAGGACAATATCCACGTCATCCAGCATCATTGTTAGAGAACGATGGAGGCCTCAAGAGCAGATAGCGTCGTGTAACACAGTCATGGGGCCCTCATCTCGGCTCACCCCCATGATGGGGGTGAGCCGAGATCTCACCCGCAGGCCCACAGCCAAGCTCAGCAAGCAGCTGAGAGATTGTTGGCCGCGATGTAAACATGACCAGCTCATGCAGGGTGTGTTGTGTTACGAGTCCACCTCTGAGTAGTGCGTGGGTCGTAATTTCGCCAATTGTATGAGAGTCTGGAGTTAACATAATGTGAAGGACATCACATTTTCTTGGCTATGTAACAGAGTATGAGGAGTGGTGGGCAGTGAGGGGTGGGCAGGAGGGGTGGGTGAGGGAGGGGTGGGGGCAGTGAGGGGTGGTGGGTAGTGAGGGGTGGTGGGCAGTGAGGGGTGGTGAGGCAGGAGGGGTGGTGGGCAGCAGGAGGGGTGGTGGGTAGTGAGGGGTGTGTAGGAGGGGTGGTGGGGTAGTAGAGTGAGGGGTGGTGGGTAGTGAGGGGTGGTGGGTAGTGTGGGGTGGTGGGTAGTGTGGGGTGGTGGGTAGTGAGGGGTGGTACACCATATGTCAGCCATCATATGAGGTGCTCCCATTTATAGTGACGAATCAACCAATGACGCCCAAGTCAGATCCTTGTTTCAACAGGAAGCGCCAACTTTTATTCTACCCTTGTGTCAAAAGGATGATGAATAAACCCTGTACAGTATTGGGTAGAGAAAGAGTTGGGGCTTCCTGTTGAAACAAGGATCTGACTTGGGCGTCATTGGTTGATTCGTCACTATAAACGAGAGCGCCTCATGTATGACCTGTCACCTTAAATGGTGAGGGAGAACATGATACCTTGTGGCAGTACAGTGCTACACACTAGTAAGATACACTATACTACAGTACCTTGTATAGAGCATAAAAAGTGGGTCCTCAGTGTCCATCCATACAGGTGGACACTCACTGCTCACACTCTTGACTGCTTCATGCCACCAAACATCTACTTCTGAGTTCCATCCAACCTGTAATAATTTTCATATTTTAATTGATCATGTCACCATTTATTACAGCAGCCATTACTCTGACATATACTGTACTGCCCTACTGTACTAAATTTATGTACTTCTGTATGACATGAAGGCTTATATACTGTATTGTAAATTGTCAAGACTTTTATCATGTGACTCACTAAAAGTATAATAAATATAATAGTTCTTACTGTATAGACTTCTACTGAACTGCATCAAAAAACTTAAAACTGTTTGGGAAGTTCACACAAATTTAATTCAGACTTCAACATCACAGAAATTTGTTACATAATATGGTAAAGAAATCAAAGTGAGATCATTCCAGAATTATTGGTAAATAAAGTGAAAGGTGCTGATGCAATAGTGCAGAGTTACTGAGGAAACTATTTACTTGTGCATTAAAAACTCTAACAAAGAATCCATTGTATGTACTGAGTGGGCAGCCACTCTCAACAACACCCACAGTCTACCATGAACAGCTTATAACTTCTCAATTATACTGTACAGCCAGACACCATGTACACTACAGTGCCTACTACAGTACAAAGACCATGTTAAGCTTCAACCTTACTCCATATGAGCCACAAGTCTCCTCAAGGCTGAGTCAGTATGGACAACAGGTGCTCCTGAGGTCGCCTACAAGGGGAGCACAATGTGAACAAGCAAGAGAGTTTTTACCATCTCTGTACAGTACGGTACATTGTAATTTAGAATATATACTGTGCAGCTCAGTACTTCAACCCTTTATGTGGTGTTGTGCACACAGTCTGTGGTCATAAAACAATACAACAACAAACATATGCTTCCAATATACAGTTCTGTACAACAAACTGGTCAAGACTCTGCTGATGCCTCCCCTAAACACACAATGGGAAACAGTCATGATGCGAATCTACTGTGTAATATCAGGGGCTCAAGAATAACACCACCTAACCAATAAAGCAATGACCCTTTACCTGTGTTCCTAATACAAGCATCCCCCAGATTACGGAAAGGTTCCATTCTTGAAAATTTTTCCATAATGTGAAATTCAGTAATGCGGGACCAATTTTTCCACCGACTCCCACTATATAATTTGAGACTTGTTTCCAAGGATATTTTTCGGCCAAAAACATAACACAAGCACAGATATGAAAAAAATTACTTCTTGTTGTAACATGATAATAAATACGCACAACACTTGAATTTAACTCACCAGAAACGATGCTAAGTGCTGTAGGAGGTGAGGTGGTGCGATCGGAGTTACTGGGAGTTACCTCCTTCAAACATATTGTCCAACATAATTCCTTTATGGAATCTTTTATCACCTTTGCTTTAACTTGAACTTGATGGTCTTTTCTCACTTATCTTGAATAAGGGTACACAGTAACACAGACACATAACTGAACACAAACTGGAGAATGAATTCTAAATGAGCAGCTCCATTATTATTGTGGTGGGTAGATGCGTCGTCCTTAACCGTTTTGTAAAAACCACCCAGAATCCACACGAATTAAATTTTTAATTTTGACTATTTTCTTTTATACATCACTTTTTTTTTTTTTTTTTAATATTAATCAAAATTTCGTAAGCGCAAATTTCCGTAACCCAGGATTCCATAATGCGGGGATGCCTATACTATACTGTACTGTATGCTACCTGATATCAGAAACAAACACTCACTTGGACATTACTGTACGTTTGGAATAATTATAAGGCATAAAGCATTATATAAGTCCAAAACACACATGGAAACTGTCTATACAGCACCATGCAAGACATACACTTTTATCATAGTATGATCTAAGAAACTGAGGAGACAGTGTAGCCAGACATGGAACACAAGCAATGTGAAGAGACTAACATGCTCTTCTGGTTAAGATGACTTGGTAAACTTTTTGTTGTGTGGCTGGAGATACGGCCAGGCAACCGTGACGGTGGACTCGTGTGATCTTTAGAGTGACCAAATACCAGTGAAACACATAACACATCATGGATCAGTTTACACACAATATATAGATACTGTATCTCCTTAACATAAAGTCCCCTCACCTCTTCATTAAGTCTCCACAACACTTAATACATAGACTTAAGCATACAATAATGCCACCTTCCTTACTCTTGTTCAACTAACTCAGACTCACAGACTGGACAATATTGACATCCAATGGTACCAATGAGGGATGAACACAATCATAACCTGTACATTTAAGTGTTGTCACAACCTGTACCTCTAAGTGTTCTGACGATCTGTACCTTTAAGTGTTGTCACAGCCTCTACCTCTAAGAATTGTCACGACCTGTGCCTCCAGGTGTTGTCACGACCTGTACCTTTAAGTGTTGTAACAGTCTGTATCTCTAAGTGTTGTCATGACCTGTACCTTTAAGTGTTGTAACTGTCTGAATCTCTAAGTGCTGTCACAGCCTGTACCTCTAAGTGCTGTCACAGCCTGTACCTCTAAGTGCTGTCAAAGCCTGTACCTCTAAGTGCTGTCACAGCCTGTACCTCTAAGTTACAGTATATTTCGTGATTAGTGAGAATAATTTTATAATGCATTATATTAGGTAGGAGGCCAGAGACCCTAGTCATGACTCATTGTTCTAATAAATACAGTGCCATAACAGAGATTATATGTGCAATAACCAAAGATTACATGAGAGTGAATAATAATAAAAACAAGACGACAAAGATAAAGCCATCATCATTACCATCTCTCACACACACACACATAGCCCAACACCTTTACTGTAGAGTTATGAATCATACCACTACACTACCTTAAAGTTGCCCTGTTGGCTCCAGGTCAATGTAGGTAGATTGGTATCGGTGATATCGGAGTCGGAGCAGCAGGTGAGGGAACATGGAGAGGAGTTCATTGAAGGCAGCAATACAGTACCAAACCATACACATCCATTATATACAGCCAACTTATGACAACAGTTAATAAGTTTTATCTCTCTAGCACATGGCTGCCTCTTATACAAGCACCTCAAGTGGTGTTCACAATTGAAATTCACTTACATTTCTTTAGTTTCGGCACATAACATAGACTTGGGGCAATAACAGGAGTATCGGGGCAATAACAGGAGTATCTGGGCAATAACAGGAGTATCGGGGCAATAACAGGAGTATCGGGGCAATAACAGGAGTATCGAGGCAATAACAGGAGCATCGGGGCATTAACAGAAGTATTGGGGCAAGAACAATGTAGGAGGGTTTTATCTGTGGCATTATGAGAGCCTCATCATTAAGCTGCCATACAAATAATTCAACAGCACGTAAAACTATCCTAGAGAACTTATAATAATTTGTCACAAGTCGGCTGTAGGTGGAGGACAAGATGCAGTGTCCAATCTTTCTATACTGTATAACAATCAAGTTTAAAAGTAAGTAATTTACTAAGCACTGAACAGTATAGTGTTATTTTGTTATTTTCACTAAATTGTACAGTACTACCACAAAAAAATAACAGAACAAATAAAAAGACTGGCAGGAAGGTTATTAAATACAAATCTGAATAAGACACTTCAATACCAGTGGAAAGAAGCCATTTACTGTAATTTAATCACAAGAATGCATACACAGTTCTCATCATGTTCAGAGACAGTACAAACCTTGGCGGCCCTCACTCCTGTCATCTCAGTGTTGGCCTTGTTAATATTCTATAATCAAAATCGAACAAAACTGATGATTATAGACGGTCCTGCTGAGAAGTCTTCCAGATTGAGTAACTCAAAAATGTATCTCTTACCATCCTATTCATCCCCATCATGGATATCAACAACTGTACTGTCATCAAAATTAATCCACTTATAATCCATCCACTTAACACACTGTATTGTAGTAGTAGTAGTAATAGCAGTAGTAGTATTAGTAGCATTTTTTTTTTTCATTAGTAGTAGTAGTAGTAGTAGTAGTAGTATTCTGCGGCTCAACTAACTCAACACAGCCAGGGTAGCTACTTATGTATTAGGATAGTTAATTTTAAGGTAATAAAATGGTGGTGAAGCTGTGACTATTGGGGGAGGCTGTAGGACATGTTTTTAAAGAGAATCAAAAAACAATTAAAGTAGTATTAGTAGTAGTAATAGTAGTACAGTAGTAGCATTAGTAGTACATAGTAGTAGTCAGCTAAAACTAGTGAATGTATGGTATTGTACACACTCTCCTGCCACCACACTAAACACGCTTACTTTACGTTAATTATCATCAAACATTTATCTACAGCATTATATAATCTTGGGTAATATTCATTAACCCCTTCAATACAGGGACGCCACTTTCACTATCCAGTATTATTACGTGAATGCCAGACAATTTTATTCAGCACAGAGGGGATCCCATACACAAGATGTGAGAAACATTATCATGACCATTTTTCACTAATATGGTCTCCCTCTTCCTCAGGCTGAATGAAGCACACAATTCCATCTCACTGCCGAGGGAATGTAACAAGATCCCCTCGGTATAACCCACCATTGACAAGTGAGCACAGAGCCCGGTGATGGGAGTCTCTCTTCACGTGTTGTTCTCCAGCCAACAAGACACCTTCTCACCCACTTGAATTTACATTTATATGTTCAATGGCTGTTTTGGTGACCAGTCAACAGCCCACCCCTACTGTCAACAACCCACCCCTATTGTCAACAACCCACCCCTATTGTCAACAGCCCACCCCTGCTGTCAACAACCCACTCCTGCTGTCAACAACCCACTCCTGTACTGGGTGGCCAGTACAGTACAGTAAAGCCTCGAATAACGACGGTAAAGTGTCCTCCAATATTGCAGTGTAAGGTGAATCGTCTTATCGCGAATCATTAATTAGCATTAAAATAAAGCAATAATAATGAGATGCGTTCCCAAGTGTGACCTTTTCATATCTTTGGTGTGGCTTTTTACCCTCTTTTCCCCCAAAACAATACAATTAATGAAAATTGCAACTATATTCATTAAATAATGTTTCTGAATGCACCTTATACAGGTTGTACCTCTCTAGTCCGGCATTCTGTGGTCCGAAAACTCCCGTGGTCCGGAACGATTTTAGTTTGTCCAATAGGTAGATAGGCAGTTTTTTTTTTTTTTTTTTTTATTATCTGAATTATTATTATTATTATTACAGGAGTATTAAATTTTTGCCCCTCAGGCCCCAATGTGGGTCAGTGACCTATGCCCGGGTGGGCTAATCCCCTAAAAAAAACAACAAAGCCGCGGGAAATTAAGGTTTGTTTACATCCGGCAGTTCGGCTGCTCTCTCTCTCTCTCTGCTTGTCTATACAGAGTACAACATTTAACCCTTCAATATATATGAGCAGTAAATAAGTGTTGCTTTCATATTCTTATGTAGAGTAATGACGATATATTTTCACATGTGCGCACTTACATACGAGCAGTCTCACTTTTTTTTTTACCATTAATGGTTAGCTACTTATATTGTTCCATTTATTAACATTAAATAACATTACAGGTACTTCAAGCAACCATATTCATTTTTTACATTAATTTTACTACAGCTAAACTCAGGGTCTTATTTTCTTCAGTTTTATATGTAGAACCAATCAGTCACTGGTTTCGTAAGCTTTAACATAAACAATGCCGGCAGCCGTCTCGTCTCCTCTAATATTCCACGTATTATTAATAAATTGTATTGTTAATTTTGCACACACGTACATTGATTCAATAAAAACAAATTCAGAAACATTAATTAAAATATATATGAACAGTAAATAAGTGTTGCTTTCATATTCTTATGTAAAGTAATGACGATATGTTTTCACGTGTGAGCATGCGCACTTACATATGCGATCTCTCTTTTTCTTTACCATTATCGTTAGCTACTTCTATTGTTCCATTTATTAACATTAAATAACATTACTTAAAACAACCATATTAATTTTACTACAGCTTCAACCATGGCCTTATTTTCTTCAGTTTTATATGTAGAACCAGTCAGTCACTGGTTTTGTAATCAACGAAAACAATGCTGTGTCATTTCCTCGTGTGTTTTAATATTCTACATATTATTAATGAATTCTATTGCTCATTTTGCACACATAAACATCAATTCAATAAAAAAGACATTCAGTAATAAACAACAATGAATCTTTTGTACATAAGAGAAATGACGCTGTTTACACGATTATGCACGTCGTCTGCAAATTGGTGGTCCGTTCAAACCCGTCGAAATTCAAGTTTCCGCCGTCAAAATTTTTATTTATTTTTTTTTGTGTGTGTTCCAATAAAATACGTTAAGAATTAAAAACTCGCGAAATTTGAGAAGCTACTATACGACATTTAACCCTTCAATATGTCTTCAAAGAGACCATGACGCAGAGAAAGTGGTGCTAGTGCTTCCAGGCATAAGCACAAGTCACTATCTATCCAGGAAAAGGGTGAATTTCCATGGTCTGGCAATTTCCATGGTCCGGCACCGGTCAGGTCCCGAGGTTGCCGGACTAGAGAGATACAACCTGTACAATATAAATTAATAATAATATGGTCCCACAAGAGGAGATGGGACGCCATTGTTTTCGTTTGTGTTTACAGCCGGGAGTCCGGGATGATAGTTCTACACGAGAAAATGAAGAAAATAAGACCCTGGTTGTAGCTGTAGTAAACCACTGATGGCAAAGAAAAAAAAAGAGAAGGATTGGGAAAGCCAACATATGCGTACGTGCGCATTTAAGGATACCGCGTCATTTATCTTAAGAATATGTACAAAAGATTCATTATTGTTTATTACTGAATATGTATTTGATTGAATTAATGTTTATATATGTGAAATGAACAATAGGGAGGATGCGCATGCGTGCCGTAGTGTCAACAAAGGCTGTAAGAGACTGCTCCTTAAAAGTCGTATTTCTGAAGAATTCAGCGAGTCTACTAATCCCAGCCTGTGCAGACAACTATAGTAAGACCCAGTTATCAGCACAGTGGCATCTACAGTATTACCCCGCTTAACGCGCTTTCACTTAACGCGTTTTATCATATACGCGGTGCCTTGCCAAAGCTGAACTTTCACTTAACGCGGGTTTTTCCACAGCAACGCGGTGAGTGTCCGGCTCGGATGCTATTTTTAGATTTTGACCACGCGCCAGGCGCCACCCACCCGCCCTCCTGCCTGCCTGCCTCTCCCTCCTCCTCCCTCCGCTTGGGTAAGCGGCGCGGTAAGGTTGCGCAGTGTGTGTCTTTGTTGCGTTATCACTGACGTCATATGACGTCTCGGACTGTGATTGGCCATGCAGCCCTACCCCCCTCTGCTGCTAGCTGTAATTGGCTTAAAGTATTATGACGTGACTACCCCGGGGAGGGAGGGAGGGAGGAGAGACGACGCTTGACCTAGCCGCGGCAGTTTCATCCCTCAAGGCCACGCCGGGTTAACGCGCATCCATTGTTCCGTAAAATGGCTTCCGCCGGACCACCACCCCCAGAGAGAAACCTTTCCTTACCTGGACCCAGCGGCACTAAACCAAAGAAGACACGACGTTCATTAAGCTACGAGCTGAAGTACCAAATTGTTCAAGATTTGGAGAAAGGAAGACGCCAAGTTGATCTCGCGCGCCAGCATGGCGTCAACGAATCTACGATTCGTACAATAAAGAAGGATGCAGCCAAGATAAAGGAGCACATGAAGATCACAAAGTCTGCAGGTGCTTCATCTATCAGGTATTGCCAGAACAGGGTGCTGGCAAAAGTGGAAACTTTGCTGGTGAGTTATTTGGTGCGTCAGGCGCGACGCAACATGGCGGTGGACACGCGCTCAGTGCAGGAGTACGCACGTGAGCTATACGCA